TCAGATGGGTTTCCCGTCTGTTTCCAGTACCGAAACTGGACTGTACGGACCTGGGGTTCATTCTGGACTTGTCCTGTCTGAACCCCTGGGTTTATTGCTCCTCCTTTCGGATGACTATGCTGTCTCAGGTTCGGCTCTTGTTGGCACAACGCTCTTGGATGGTGTCTCTGGATCTCCGGGACGCTTATTGGCATGTCCCGATTCATCCGGGGTTCAGGGACTGGCATGGTTTTGTTGTGAAGCTTACGGCGTCAAGCTTACTGCTTTCGTTGTCCCCCATTCGGGTTGAACCTGGCACCTCGTGTGTTCACACGCCTTATCAAGATCGTCATGGCCCGTCTGCATCTTTTAGGTGTTCGGGGCTTGGCCTACCTCGAGGACTGCCTGGTTTGGGCTCCCAGCTGGTCCTATTGTCTGCTAGCCAGGGATTTGTTTCTTTTCCAAGCTCGCCGGGTTCGGGTTCTTGGTGAATTGGAGGAAGTCCTATTTGGTTCCCTCCCAGGTTCGAACCTGGCTGGGTCTTGTGTGGGAATCTCAAACCGCTTCCTTGTCTCTTCCTCCGAAGTCTCTCCTACAGCTGCAGTCCCGCATGCGGCTGTTTCTGGGGGGCTCCTGGGTTACCCGGCGGTTGCTTGAGGGTTTGTGCGGGATCCTGAACTTTGTGATTATGGTCTACCCGCCGGGTCGAGTTTAGCTTCGTTGGCCTCTCTCGCGATCGCTGGGTTCAGCCCCCGAGGGCCTTGCAAAGGCTGCTGTGCCGCCGGCTTCCTCATCGGGTTTTTCGGGATTCAGTTCCTTGGCGCCTGCCTGAGCCCCTCGCTCGATGTGTTCATGGACGTGTTGTGTCTCGGCTGGGGCTTTGTGACCAGTGCTCAACAGGCCAACCAGGGGCGGTGGGGTCTGCCCTTTTGTCGGGCCCACAGCACGGTGCGGGAGTTCGCGACAGTGTGGTTTGCTCTTCGGAGGGTTCGGATCGCCCACGGATCGACAATCCGGCTTCATTCAGACTGCTCCCTGGTGGTTCATTGCCTGAACTGAGGGGGGTTCGATGCAGTTCTTGGCTCTTTGGCGCTGGTTGCTTCGGGTGACTCATCTGCTGAGTTTTCAGGGTTTGTCTCTCCTGGCAATTCACGTGCGGGGAGTGTCCAACGTCTTGGCGGACGGCCTGTCTCATTTCGTTCCTCTGTCCACGGAATGTACGGTCGACACCGACTCCTGCCGTTGGCTTTGCCAAATGTTCAGGCGCCTCGAGGTGGACCTGTTCGCGTTGGCGTGGTCGTGGTGCCTTCCCCTTTATGTGGTGTTCTTCCCCGACTGGGAGGCCGTCGGGGTCGATGCCTTTCGGCAGGACTGGTCGAGGTGGGGGGTTCCTGTACCTCTTTCCTTCGGTTCAGCTGCTGCTCCAGGTTCTGACTTGCTTGGAGACATACCAGGGGAGAGTTGTCTTCTTGGCCCCGTGGTGGCCGGCCCAGCCGTGGTTTGAGGCGCTGCTTGCTCGGTGTCTGGAGCCGGAGGTTTTCCCGCAGCTCCACCTCTTCCAAAAGATCGGACTGGAGCGTCACGTGGCTGGTTCGATCTTCTCCTCGAGTCTACGCGTATGGTATTTTTTGACTCGAGTTTATCATCATCTATATGGTGATCAGCTGCGTCTTGGCGGCGGTATGAGGTTTCCTGGCGGTCCTTCTGGTTCTTTTTGACTCTTCGTCGTTGTGCTTCGCTTCTAGTTCAGAATGGTGTTGTCCTTTCGCTCGTGGTTGTCCCAGGACCGTCATCATATGCCGAATACTGTCGCCTCGTATCGTGTGATGCTGGCGGAGCCGCTTCAGCTTGTTTTCAGTTATGATGTTATTTCTGTGCCGTTTCACAAGCTATCTTGTGTGTTGTTTCACCTTCGGCCTGCTCATGCATCGCCAGAGCCGTCCTGGTCGTTAGACAGGGTGCTCTCTTTTTTTCCTCAGTTTGTTGTGGCCAGTGCTCAACAGTCTTGGTGGCCCCTTTGGTTCAGGGTTGTTTCTCGAATGCTCTTTTTGCCTGTTGGCATTAGCCTCTGGGGGTCGGGTCGGGGAGCTTCATTCTCTCCTCCGGCGTAGGGGTTTCCTGCTCTTTCGGTCATGGTGATCGGTTTGTTCGTCTGCAGCTGTCTCCTTCTTTTCTGGCGAAGAATGAGACAGCTGCTTTCCGGAGGGGTCCTTGGGTTGTTGATGCTTGGTTGGTCAGGCTGGGGTTGCATCATGTTTTGTGTCTGGTTGCGGTCCTTCCCCGTTATTTGCGCGCCACGGCTTCTGTGTTCGGGGACACGCTTCAAGTTGATCCGGTTACCCTCCTTCCCTGTTCGCAGGTGTGAGTCTCCCAGATTGTCCACAAGGTTATTAAGGCTAGCCAGCCTGCGGTCTATCCCCATGCCCATGACATTCGTAAGTTGGCTGTGTTTGCTGCTGTCTTTGGAAACGTGTCCTGGGATGACATTTGGGCACGGGGTTTTTGGGAGTCAAACAGGATCTTGGCTGCGCGCTACCTCGTGAACGATCCTCGGCCTAGTCGGGCCTGTGTCGCTTTGGGTCGGCGGTTGTAGCCAGTTGTCTCGACTTCAGGTTGAGGAGTGAGCAGCGACCGCCTCCTGGATAAGTCCCTCTGATTTTCCTCTATGGGTAGTTAGCTCTGGGAAGCCGACGGAACTCTTCCCCCCCCCCTTCCCCAGAAAAGCCATTTTTTGGGTGAGATCCGGAGGCTCCCTGGTCGGTGGTTTTTCGCGTGTTTTGATGTCCAACCTCAGAACTGAAGGGTGGATAGCCGGCGCGGGGGGGTCTGGGGTTCCCCCTTCCCCCTCCCAGGGAGGGGGGAGCTGCACAGACAGCGGCACAGCGACGTGTGATGTCATGCTCGTTTGCTCGTTTCTTTTTGGGGAGTTCTATCCGCTTATTCGGCTTTTTGTAGCAATTTTCACCAGAATAGGGGTTTGTTTTGGGATGCTTATCTTTCTGGGTGCCTGACGCGGTCGATGGCAGACATAGAATGCTTCCAACTACACGGGGGGGGGGGGGGGTTCTATAGGCCATTGCTCCCCATGCCTCCCTGAGGGGGCCAGGTTCTGGCTCGTGGTCCTCTCGGTAGACCCACAGAACTATACACATGATGGATGTCAAAGTCTGACATTAGCATATCTTCCTGGATAGCTCTGGGGAGCCTCCGGGTGTCACCCAGAAAATGGCATTTCATTACATTCAATGCTGGTTTTTTGCCCCCTCCTTTCAGATGACTACTGTCCCAGGTCCATCTTCTGCTGGAGCCGGACACTTGGTGTCCCTGGACCTCAAGGACACGTATTGGCACGTCCCGATTCATCCGAGGTTCAGGGACTGGCTTGGTTTTGTTGTGGGGTGTCAGGGTTACTGCTTTCTGTACCTTCCTTTTGATTTGAATCTGGTGCCTCGTGTTTTCACACGCCTTACTCGGTTTTGGTGACCCGCCTGCATCTGTTAGGTGTTCGGATTCTGGCCTACCTAGACGACTGGCTGGTTTGAGCTCCAAGCCAGTTCGCGTGTCTGCTTGCCAGGGATTTGGTTCTTTCCCAGCTCGCCGGGTTCGGGTTCTTGGTGAACTGGCGGAAGTTCCATCTGGGTCCCTCTCAGGTTCAGTCTTGACTGGATCTTGTGTGAGACGCTTGGACCGCTTCCTTGTCTCTTCCTTCGGCGGCTTTCCTTCACCTGCATTTCCACCTTCATCTGTTTCTGAGGGGCTCCCGTTTATGCGGGAGCCTGAACTTTTCCATGATGGTCTACCCGCCGTGTTGGGTGTGGCTGCATCAGCTGTTCTGGTTCCTTTGGGGGACATCCCTTCTGCCTCTCGCAACCGCTAAGTTTGGCCTCTGGGGGCTTTGTCTCGGATGCTGTATCGCCGGCTTCCTCTTCGGGATTTTCAGGGTTCAGTGTCTTGGCGCCTATCTGAGCCCTTGCTCGATGTGTTCATGGACGCGTCTCTTGGCTAGGGCTTTGTGACCAGTGTTTTGTGACCAGCCCTTGGGTTGTTTATGCTTGGTTGGTCAGGCTGGGGGTGCATCATGTGTTGTGTCTGGTTGCAGCTCTCCACCGTTATTTGTGCGCCACGATCTCTGTGGTCAGGGACGCGCTTTGGGTTGATCTGGTCTCCCTTCTTCCCTGTTCGCAGGTTCAGGTCTCAGGTCATCCGCAGGGTTATTTGGTCTGGCCAGCCTGCGGTCTATCGCCATGCCCATGATGTTCGTAAGTTTGCTGCGCTTGCTGCTGTCTTTGGTTATATGTCCTGGGCTGACATTTGGGTGCGAGGTTTTGGGGGGTCAACATGGTCCTGGCTGCATGCTACCTCGTTAATGTTCCTGGGCCTAGTCAGGCCTGTGTTGCTTGAGTCGGCGGTTGCAGCCTGTTGTCTCGACTTCGAGTTGAGGTGAGAGCATCGACCGCCTCTTGGTTAAGTCCCTCTTGTTTTTGTCTTTGGTGAAGTAGCTCCGGCAATTCGTCAATCACAAGCTTCTGAGCTGGTATGTAGAAATCCCTGTACTTTCCAATAAGTTCATCAGGACGTGCCTTACCTTCCAAAGTCTGTCATCATCATTTGCCAAATAAGACACCTGAGGATTATCGCAAATCAGTCTTGAGACATATATCTGTCGAACATCGGTGTTGGAACAGTATGGTCTTTGCTCCAATAATGGTCAAGTACGTGTTTGACACAATGTTTCATCAACATACACAGTGCCAAAAACACATACATTTCACCCACAGTCGTATCTTTCCATGAAAACAGAGCAGTGTAAGGTTTTCACTGTAAACGCACGGAAAGAATGGAAAGTGACGATGTTTAGGTCTATCCTGGACCCTTAGCAAATCATGCCAAGGATGGACCAAAACTTTAATGTTTTCCTTGTGTGTGGGTTAGATTACAAATGTTCAGCCATGTTATTGTCACTATATAAATTTATTCTTCCAATGTTTTTTTAAATAGTTACATTTCTTATCTTCCTGCAGGTGCTTGAGAAATTCTTCAGCGTTAAGGTTCCCATCCCACCATACAGGCCATATGCAGTGCAGTCGTTCTACAGTATTCTCAAGTTTCCAATTCGGGTTCTCAAAGACTGCATCCGCATCATGCAACTGGAACTGGTAACTTTGTGGGTTTTGCATACAGGATACGTTGACTAAGCTCACTTGGTTTGTCTGGCACTAGGCAGGTTTGTCTGGCACCTGGCAGGTGTAGCTGACACAGGGCAGGTTTGTCTGACACTGGGCAAGTCTAACTAACACTGGGCAGGTTTGTCTGACACTGGGCAGGTTTGTCTTGCACTGGGCAAGTGTAGCTGACATTGGGCAGGTTTGTTAGGCACTGGGCAGGACTAGCTGACACTGGGCAGGTTTGTTAGGCACTGGGCAGGTCTAGCTGACACTGGGCAGGTCTAGCTGACACTGGGCAGGTCTAGCAGGTCTAGCTGACACTAACTCAGCACATGGTGCTGATTGAAGTGTAACTGCAGAGAATTTGAGCAGTGTTTACCATGATGGGAAATTATACTGTGCCCATACTGTGTGGAGGAGGACCCTGGCATGACTGGACCAGTGGAACAGTTTCTTGTACTGTGAACCAACCCGTCCCTTCACTGAACACACACACATTCTACATTATTTATACCACTGATCCCAACATAGGATTTGTGGAGGTATAGGGGGAAAGGGGGGAATGAAGAGCACTGCAATATTGACACTTTTCCGTGACAAATGATTATCAGCTCTGGTAGAGTTGTTGGGTGGCGTAGGTTCCAATGCTTTTTGATTGGCTAAACCACTGCATCTTTTATGAAGATGCAAGAGAAATGGCTCATGTAGCTTGTATATTGTAGTAAAGAAGTCTCCATGCTTGACCCGCAGTCTAGGATTCTGGGTTTGATCCCCGAGGGAAAAAGAAACAGTTGGGCATATTTCCTTTCTTCTGAAGCCTCTGTCCACCTACCAGTAAAATTGGTACCCGAGAGCCAGGCAACTGCTGTGGGCGGAATTCTGAGGAAGGTTAGTAGTTGGCGTACCGTAGGTAGAACCTCAATATGTCTAATTACAGGCTTATTATATTGTAAAAGGGTTAACAAGATTGAAGCAGTGTAAGGGATTAACAAGATTGGAGCAGTGTAAGGGATTAACAAGATTGGAGCAGTGTAAGGGGTTAACAAGATTGGAGCAGTGTAAGGGTTAACAAGATTGGAGCAGTGTAAGGGGTTAACAAGATTGGAGCAGTGTAAGGGATTAACAAGATTGAAGCAGTGTAAAGGGTTAACAAGATTAAAGCAGTGTAAGGGGTTAACAAGATTGGAGCAGTGTAAGGGGTTAACAAGATTGGAGCAGTGTAAGGGATTAACAAGATTGAAGCAGTGTAAAGGGATTAACAAGATTGGAGCAGTGTAAAGGGTTAACAAGATTGGAGCAGTGTAAGGGATTAACAAGATTGGAGCAGTGTAAAGGGTTAACAAGATTGGAGCAGTGTAAGGGATTAACAAGATTGAAGCAGTGTAAAGGGTTAACAAGATTGGAGCAGTGTAAAGGGTTAACAAGATTAAAGCAGTGTAAGGGAGTAACAAGATTGGAGCAGTGTAAGGGGATTAACAAGATTGGAGCAGTGTAAGGGATTAACAAGATTGGAGCAGTGTAAGGGGTTAACAAGATTGGAGCAGTGTAAGGGGTTAACAAGATTGGAGCAGTGTAAGGGATTAACAAGATTGAAGCAGTGTAAAGGGTTAACAAGATTGGAGCAGTGTAAAGGGTTAACAAGATTAAAGCAGTGTAAGGGAGTAACAAGATTGGAGCAGTGTAAGGGGTTAACAAGATTGGAGCAGTGTAAAGGGTTAACAAGATTAAAGCAGTGTAAGGGAGTAACAAGATTGGAGCAGTGTAAGGGGTTAACAAGATTGGAGCAGTGTAAGGGGTTAACAAGATTGGAGCAGTGTAAGGGATTAACAAGATTGAAGCAGTGTAAAGGGTTAACAAGATTGGAGCAGTGTAAAGGGTTAACAAGATTAAAGCAGTGTAAGGGAGTAACAAGATTGGAGCAGTGTAAGGGGTTAACAAGATTGGAGCAGTGTAAAGGGTTAACAAGATTGGAGCAGTGTAAGGGATTAACAAGATTGAAGCAGTGTAAAGGGTTAACAAGATTGGAGCAGTGTAAAGGGTTAACAAGATTAAAGCAGTGTAAAGGGTTAACAAGATTGGAGCAGTGTAAGGGATTAACAAGATTGAAGCAGTGTAAGGGATTAACAAGATTGGAGCAGTGTAAGGGATTAACAAGATTGAAGCAGTGTAAGGGATTAACAAGATTGGAGCAGTGTAAGGGGTTAACAAGATTGGAGCAGTGTAAGGGATTAACAAGATTGAAGCAGTGTAAGGGATTAACAAGATTGGAGCAGTGTAAAGGGTTAACAAGATTGAAGCAGTGTAAAGGGTTAACAAGATTGGAGCAGTGTAAAGGGTTAAGAACATAAGAACATAAGAACATAAGAACAAAGGTAACTGCAGAAGGCCTATTGGCCCATACGAGGCAGCTCCTATTCTATAACCACCCAATCCCACTCATATACTTGTCCAACCCGTTCTTGAAACAATCGAGGGACCCCACCTCCACAATGTTACGCGGCAATTGGTTCCACAAATCAACAACCCTGTTACTGAACCAGTATTTACCCAAGTCTTTCCTAAATCTAAACTTATCCAATTTATACCCATTGTTTCGTGTTCTGTCCTGTGTTGATACTTTTAATACCCTATTAATATCCCCCCGGTTATGTCCATTCATCCACTTGTAAACCTCTATCATGTCACCCCTAACTCTTCGCCTTTCCAGTGAATGCAACTTAAGCTTTGTTAATCTTTCTTCATATGAAAGATTTCTAATTTGGGGAATTAACTTAGTCATCCTACGCTGGACACGTTCAAGTGAATTAATATCCATTCTATAATATGGCGACCAAAACTGAACTGCATAATCTAAATGGGGCCTAACTAGAGCAAGATATAGCTTGAGAACCACACCAGGTGTCTTGTTACTAACGCTGCGATTAATAAATCCAAGTGTCCGATTTGCCTTATTACGAACATTTATGCATTGATCTTTTTGTTTTAAATTCTTACTAATCATAACTCCCAGATCCCTTTCGCAATCCGACTTCGCAATCACAACACCATCTAGCTCGTATCTTGTAACTCTATCATCATTACCTAACCTCAGAACTTTACATTTATCAGCATTAAACTGCATCTGCCAATCCTTTGACCATTTCAAAACCCTATCTAGATCAACTTGAAGTGATAGTGAGTCCTCCTCCGAATTAATTTCCCTACCGATTTTCGTATCATCGGCAAATTTGCAAATGTTGCTACTCAAACCTGAATCTAAATCATTTATATATATTATAAACAACAGAGGTCCCAGGACAGAGCCTTGAGGCACTCCACTTACAACATTTTCCCACTCTGACTTGATTCCATTTATACTAACTCTCTGTTTCCTTTGGTATAGCCATGCCCTAATCCAGCTTAATATAGCACCCCCAATACCATGAGACTCTATCTTTTTAATCAGTCTTTCATGTGGCACTGTATCAAAAGCTTTGCTAAAGTCAAGGTATACAACATCGCAATCCTTACCACTATCAACTGCCTCAACAATGCTAGAATAAAAAGATAACAAATTTGTTAAACATGAACGGCCATTTATAAAACCATGTTGCGACTCAATTATTAAATTATGTTTTTCAAGATGAAGACGAATTTTATTTGCTATTATAGATTCGAGTAACTTTCCCACAATAGACGTTAGGCTAATTGGTCGATAGTTAGACGCAAGTGATCTATCTCCTTTCTTAAAAACTGGTATCACATTAGCAACTTTCCAAAACTCTGGCACTCTGCCTGACTCTATTGATTTATTAAATATGGTTGACAGTGGGTCACAAAGCTCCTCTTTGCATTCTTTAAGCACCCTGGCAAACACTTCATCCGGCCCTGGGGATTTGTTTGGTTTGAGTTTTACTATTTGTTTAAGAACATCCTCCCTGGTAACTGTTAAACTCGTCAACCTGTCCTCGTCCCCACCCACATAGACTTGTTCGGCTGAAGGCATATTGTTAAGTTCCTCTTTAGTAAATACAGATACAAAATATTTATTAAAAATACTACTCATCTCTTCATCACTATCTGTTATTTGACCTGTCTCAGTTTTTAATGGACCTGTCCTTTCCCTAGTCTTAGTACGATATAACTGAAAAAACCCTTTAGGATTTGTCTTTGCTTGCCCTGCTATGCGAACTTCATAGTTTCTTTTTGCTTTCCTTATCTCTTTTTTAACATTTCTAACCAGTTGTACGAATTCCTGTTCTAAAGTGACCTCCCCATTTTTAATCCTTTTGTACCAAGCTCTCTTTTTACCTATAAGGTTCTTCAAATTCTTTGTTATCCACTTTGGGTCATTAGTATTCGATCTATTCAATTTGTATGGTATACTACGTTCCTGTGCTTTGTTTAGAATATTCTTAAATAAGTTATATATTGAATCCACATCGAAATCCCCATTTAAGTCACCTATCGCTGGGTTCATGTCTCGCTCCAAGACCGGCCCACACCCCATACCCAAGACTTTCCAATCAATTTGACCCAAAAAATTTCTTAGGCTATTAAAATCAGCTTTACGAAAATCTGGCACTTTAACAGAATTTTCTCCTACTGGTCTATTCCATTCTATGCTAAATCTGATTTCTTTGTGATCACTGCTCCCTAGCTCACTCCCTATTTCGATGTCATTAATTTGCGTTTCCCTGTTAGTTAACACTAAATCTAAAATATTATTTTCCCGTGTTGGTTCCTTAATGTGTTGCGTAAGAAAGCAATCGTCAATTAATTCTAGAAAATCTTCTGCTTCACTATTCCCTGTTTTGTTCAACCAGTTTATTCCACTAAAATTAAAGTCACCCATGACATAAATACTGTTAGATCTAGATGCTCTAGATATTTCATCCCATAGATGCTTTGCTTCCATTCTGTCTAAATTTGGTGGCCTATATATTACTCCTATTATAATATTATTAGCTTTTTCGTTTAATTCAATCCAAATAGTTTCTGTGTGTGGCTCTGTTTTGATTCCCTCTTTGAGACTACATTTCAAATTGTCCCTAACATATATGGCTACTCCACCTCCTCGTCTAATATATCTATCTGTGTGAAATAGTTTAAATCCATATATTTGATATTCAGCTAATAGTTCTCTATTTTCTACATTCATCCACGTTTCGGTAAGTGCAATAATATCTATTTTTTCTGTGCAGACAAGAGCATTTAATTCGTTAATTTTATTTCTTAGACTTCTACTGTTAGTGTAACAAGATTGAAGCAGTGTAAAGGGTTAACAAGATTGGAGCAGTGTAAGGGGTTAACAAGATTGGAGCAGTGTAAGGGATTAACAAGATTGGAGCAGTGTAAGGGATTAACAAGATTGAAGCAGTGTAAGGGATTAACAAGATTGGAGCAGTGTAAGGGGTTAACAAGATTGGAACAGTGTAAGGGATTAACAAGATTGAAGCAGTGTAAGGGATTAACAAGATTGGATCAGTGTAAAGGGTTAACAAGATTGGAGCAGTGTAAGGGGTTAACAAGATTGCAGGAGGGTAAGGGATTAACAAGATTGGAGCAGTGTAAAGGGATTAACAAAATTGGAACAGTGTAAAGGGATTAACAAAATTGGAACAGTGTAAGGGGTTAACAAGATTGGAGCAGTGTAAGGGATTAACAAGATTGGAGCAGTGTAAAGGGATTAACAAGATTGGAGCAGTGTAAAGGGTTAACAAAATTGGAACAGTGTAAAGGGATTAACAAGATTGGAGCAGTGTAAGGGATTAACAAGATTGGAACAGTGTAAGGGGTTAACAAGATTGGAGCAGTGTAAAGGGTTAACAAGATTGGAGCAGTGTAAAGGGTTAACAAGATTGGAGCAGTGTAAAGGGTTAACAAGATTAAAGCAGTGTAAGGGGTTAACAAGATTGGAGCAGTGTAAGGGATTAACAAGATTGAAGCAGTGTAAGGGATTAACAAGATTGGAGCAGTGTAAGAGATTAACAAGATTGAAGCAGTGTAAGGGATTAACAAGATTGGAGCAGTGTAAGGGGTTAACAAGATTGGAGCAGTGTAAGGGATTAACAAGATTGAAGCAGTGTAAGGGATTAACAAGATTGAAGCAGTGTAAAGGGTTAACAAGATTGAAGCAGTGTAAAGGGTTAACAAGATTGGAGCAGTGTAAAGGGTTAACAAGATTGAAGCAGTGTAAAGGGTTAACAAGATTGAAGCAGTGTAAAGGGATTAACAAGATTGGAGCAGTGTAAAGGGTTAACAAGATTGGAGCAGTGTAAGGGATTAACAAGATTGGAGCAGTGTAAGGGGTTAACAAGATTGGAGCAGTGTAAGGGGTTAACAAGATTGGAGCAGTGTAAGGGATTAACAAGATTGAAGCAGTGTAAGGGATTAACAAGATTGGAGCAGTGTAAAGGGTTAACAAGATTGGAGCAGTGTAAGGGGTTAACAAGATTGCAGGAGGGTAAGGGATTAACAAGATTGGAGCAGTGTAAAGGGATTAACAAAATTGGAACAGTGTAAAGGGATTAACAAAATTGGAACAGTGTAAGGGGTTAACAAGATTGGAGCAGTGTAAGGGATTAAAAAGATTGGAGCAGTGTAAAGGGATTAACAAGATTGGAACAGTGTAAAGGGATTAACAAGATTGGAGCAGTGTAAAGGGATTAACAAGATTGGAGCAGTGTAAAGGGATTAACAAGATTGGAGCAGTGTAAAGGGTTAACAAGATTGGAGCAGTGTAAAGGGTTAACAAGATTGGAGCAGTGTAAAGGGTTAACAAGATTGGAGCAGTGTAAAGGGTTAACAAGATTGGAGCAGTGTAAAGGGTTAACAAGATTAAAGCAGTGTAAGGGGTTAACAAGATTGGAGCAGTGTAAGGGATTAACAAGATTGAAGCAGTGTAAGGGATTAACAAGATTGGAGCAGTGTAAGGGATTAACAAGATTGGAGCAGTGTAAGGGATTAACAAGATTGGAGCAGTGTAAGGGGTTAACAAGATTGGAGCAGTGTAAGGGATTAACAAGATTGGAGCAGTGTAAGGGATTAACAAGATTGAAGCAGTGTAAAGGGTTAACAAGATTGAAGCAGTGTAAAGGGATTAACAAGATTGGAGCAGTGTAAAGGGATTAACAAGATTGGAGCAGTGTAAAGGGTTAACAAGATTGGAGCAGTGTAAGGGGTTAACAAGATTGGAGCAGTGTAAGGGATTAAAAAGATTGGAGCAGTGTAAAGGGATTAACAAGATTGGAGCAGTGTAATGGGATTAACAAGATTGGAGCAGTGTAAAGGGATTAACAAGATTGGAACAGTGTAAGGGATTAACAAGATTGAAGCAGTGTAAGGGATTAACAAGATTGGAGCAGTGTAAAGGGTTAACAAGATTGGAGCAGTGTAAGGGGTTAACAAGATTGCAGGAGGGTAAGGGATTAACAAGATTGGAGCAGTGTAAAGGGATTAACAAAATTGGAACAGTGTAAAGGGATTAACAAAATTGGAACAGTGTAAGGGGTTAACAAGATTGGAGCAGTGTAAAGGATTAACAAGATTGGAGCAGTGTAAAGGGATTAACAAGATTGGAGCAGTGTAAAGGGTTAACAAAATTGGAACAGTGTAAAGGGATTAACAAGATTGGAGCAGTGTAAGGGATTAACAAGATTGGAACAGTGTAAGGGGTTAACAAGATTGGAGCAGTGTAAAGGGTTAACAAGATTGGAGCAGTGTAAAGGGTTAACAAGATTGGAGCAGTGTAAAGGGTTAACAAGATTGGAGCAGTGTAAAGGGTTAACAAGATTGGAGCAGTGTAAAGGGTTAACAAGATTGGAGCAGTGTAAAGGGTTAACAAGATTGGAGCAGTGTAAAGGGTTAACAAGATTGGAGCAGTGTAAAGGGTTAACAAGATTGGAGCAGTGTAAGGGGTTAACAAGATTGAAGGATTAATATTGCATACTGGACTTTATTGGGCCAATAGGGGAAACATGGTGTATATATCATGTCTAATAGCCAGAACAGCACTACTTGGCCTAGTGTGTAAGGTCTGATATGCCCCTAACAGACTGAATGATTTTTATTATACTCAAATATTTCTTTCTAGATTGTTTTTTTTTCAAATAATAGTAATAATAATAATCTATTAGAAGCATGAATTACTGACTTAGTTATATTAGGTTAGGTTTGGATAGGTTAGGTTAGGTTTGGATAGGTTAGGTTAGGTTTGGATAGGTTAGGTTTGGATAGGTTAGGTTTGGTTAGGTTAGGTTTGGATAGGTTAGGTTTGGATAGGTTAGGTTAGGTTTGGATAGGTTAGGTTAGGTTTGGATAGGTTAGGTTAGGTTTGGATAGGTTAGGTTAGGTTTGGATAGGTTAGGTTAGGTTTGGATAGGTTAGGTTAGGTTAGGTTTGGATTTCTTTGTTAGTTTTGACTCAAATAACATAAAATTGCAATCATATTTAATACAATAAAAATTGTATCATTTCATAAGAATTTGTTTTTTAATTCACAAAAATTTGGCTTGTTAGGCAGCTCTTGTATGACAGCTATTAGGTATGACAGTGATTTAAAAATGTAAAATATTGAAACATTTTGAATATGGACGCTCGACTCTCCACATAATAGATTTAGTGCAGTCTAGGGCAGATTCTAGTCATCTCTGGTATGCTTGCTTGGTCATGTAATGTTGCAGTCAATCACTGCCACATCTTTTTTGTAGTAGAAGTCATAGATTGTGTAATGTTACTACACATTATATAAGTTACATAATTGACTAATCATTTTTTATTTATACACATGTACAAAGGACATATTAAAAGAGGTGATATAGGAGGTACAGTAATTTCATAATATAGAAAGTCACTAGATACATACAGTGTGGGTTGTATATTGTTAAGACAGATGACTTACTGGTTAGTGGGAAGATGTAGCGTCAGGGTTATCATCCATGGTAATGGTTGCCTGTTGCTTCAGATGCCGACGCCACAGCAAGTGCAGCAGATGAAGTGGAGTTTGCAGTGGTGCCTCACCAATCCTCCAATTGGCTCCCAAATTGCTCCTCCTGGGCTGTTCATTGTGGTAGTTTCCAGAAACAAGATCCTCTTCTTCGTAAGTATGCTTTTATTTTGTCATGACCCGCTTCCCTGGGTCCAGGACGGATCAGAATATTGTCACTCGTTTCATTTCTTATGTGCGGGTTGGGTTATTTGTTTGTCCCGTTACTCTGCATTTGTATGGCCTTGTGAGATGTGACCTTTATATGCTTGAGGGTAGGGAGGGTTGTCGCTGGTGCATATCCGATGCAGTCTGCTCTCGGTATCTATTTTTAGCCCTTAAATTGTGGGCCTATGACAACTAAATCCTTGTAAGACTTTCAACAATAAAATATAAATCAAGTACATAGAGTATTGGTTTGGTGGCATCTTGCTTTCTATTGGTGTCAGAAAATGTTAATTAAAACAATAGTGGTGACCTTCTCCAGCTGACGTGTTGTACCACACGTGAGGGTAAACTAACCCTGAAAACAACAAGGATGATACTAGAAGTAAACAAGGGGGATAATTGCCAAGATCACATTACACTAAACTACACTGCCTCCTACTCCCCCAAACAGTGTAGTAATACACATTGTCAAAATGTATCACCAGACAGAAAATCATATACTGTAGATGTAAAGTTTAGTCACGTGAAATTAAATACATGACATATTGCCCAAGCAAAGTACTCTTCAGGGTACTTTACCCAGTTACCGAGCACTGGACTACTGTCATACAACGAAAGTATTCTATGACAAGGAGTACTGGGAAGATGGGACACCACGAGCGTAGCTCTCGTCCTGTAACTACACTTAGGTAATTGCAGTTAGGTAATAACAAACTAGGGCCTCCCAAGACCTAATGCATGTCACACTCAGTAGTGTTACAAATCTTCAAGAAGCTTTGTCATATTTGCCAGGCACTGGTATGCAAAATGAGTTACAGTGACCTGTAGCATGTCACCAGGTATGCTCTGGTGTGTCATGTAATGACATACGAGCAGAACTTGTCACAAGCTGTCCTCGTACGTACTGTCAGTTGCCAGGATGCCACTACTACACATCATCAGGTTGCAACATCAGAACTTGTCACAAGCTGTCCTCGTACGTACTGTCAGTTGCCAGGATGCCACTACTACACATCATCAGGTTGCAACATCAGAACTTGTCACAAGCTGTCCTCGTACGTACTGTCAGTTGCCAGGATGCCACTACTACACATCATCAGGTTGCAACATCAGGCCTGTAAACATCCCCAGCTGGTGATTAAACTACACTTTTGTCCTAGTTGGTCACTTGGGAACAAACACTCGGTGACAAGAGACATATCTTGAGATGTCTGCTTGTTGTGCAGTGCACCATGGTAAACATCCCCAGCCGGTGATTAAACTGCATTTTTGTCCTGGTTGGTCACTCCGGAGCGAACACTCTGTGACAAGAGAGACATCCCGAGATGTATGCCTGTTGTACAGTGTGTGACAAGAGAGACATCCCGAGATGTATGCCTGTTGTACAGTGTGTGACAAGAGAGACATCCCGAGATGTATGCCTGTTGTACAGTGTGTGACGAGAGACATCCCGAGATGTATGCCTGTTGTACAGTGTGTGACAAGAGACATCCCGAGATGTATGCCTGTTGTACAGTGTGTGACAAGAGAGACATCCCGAGATGTATGCCTGTTGTACAGTGTGTGACAAGAGAGACATCCCGAGATGTATGCCTGTTGTACAGTGTGTGACAAGAGAGACATCCTGAGATGTATGCCTGTTGTACAGTGTGTGACAAGAGAGACATCCCGAGATGTATGCCTGTTGTACAGTGTGTGACAAGAGAGACATCCCGAGATGTATGCCTGTTGTACAGTGTGTGACAAGAGAGACATCCTGAGATGTATGCCTGTTGTACAGTGTGTGACAAGAGAGACATCCCGAGATGTATGCCTGTTGTACAGTGTGTGACAAGAGAGACATCCCGAGATGTATGCCTGTTGTACAGTGTGTGACAAGAGAGACATCCCGAGATGTATGCCTGTTGTACAGTGCACAGTGTTTGTGAACGCTTCAAATATGTGTACTTCTGTCTTTGTGTATCACAAAATTTACTGAACCAACATTGGCAGTCATATTCTCTGTTGGGTCAGTATTGTTTCCAGCTGGAACACACTTTTCATTAGGAGTCGCTTACTCTAGCAGGTGTCTAGGAAACTGGACCTGGATTCATCAAACAGTTATGAAAGTACTTACGAACCGTTACATCTTTTCTCAGTCTCTGGCACCTTTGTTTTACATGTACTGTACTAAACAGTTTGAGCTCCGAAGCACCAGGAGGCTTTTTGTAACAATAACAACATTGTTACAAAAACCCGGTCTGTCAGGCACTGGGCAGGTTTGTCTGGCACTGAGCAGGTCTAACTGACACTGGGCAGGTTTGTCTGGCACTGGGCAGGTTTGTCTGGCACTGGGCAGGTTTGTCTGGCACTGGGCAGGTCTAGTTGACACTGGGCAAGTATGCAATCATTTCTTCCTCAGCCTCGACAACCTGAGCACAACTCCATAGTCTCCCATGACTGCAGAATGCCTACTAACAACATTTCGCTGAAAGTTTCAATGCTCGTCAACTTTTTAATCAATGTAAGCAGAGCTGGGAAAGATTGAGAAAAGATGGAGAGGTTGGAAAGTAGATGGGCAAATCCTTGATGAATCCTGGTCGTGGTTCCAAGTCTAGGTATTTGGCTGCACACAAATTTTTAAGACTGCATCATAATAGGGAAGCCGGTCGGCCGAGCGGACAGAACGCTGGACTTGTGATCCTGTGGTCCTGGGTTCGATCCCAGGCGCCGGCGAGAAACAATGGGCAGAGTTTCTTTCACCCTAAGCCCCTGTTACCTAGCAGTAAAATAGGTACCTGGGTGTTAGTCAGCTGTCACGGGCTGCTTCCTGGGGGTGGAGGCCTGGTCGAGGACCGGGCCGCGGGGACACTAAAAAGCCCCGTAATCATCTCAAGATAACCTCAAGATAATACACTTGGATTTGTGTATCATTTTCTTTGAGGTCTTGCTTTGATAGTTGTGCCTGACATTGTGATTTAATCATGGGCGTGCCCTAACCTTTCCTTGTCTGTGGTGGGCAAGGTCGAGTCAAGGCTTGCCAAGAGCATAAGTCTTATAGCCCAAGAGTTTTTTTTTTTATATATACCTAGCTCTGGGGTGGGCATTGTTGGGCCCTCTAGGTGTGTTGTGTGCTCTACCTCAGCGTTATAACCTTGGAACCTCCTCTCCAGATTAACTTTTAAACTGCTTCATGTACCGTCACAGGATCTTAGGCTGCAATCTTTTACTGACAGATGTTCGTGTTGCCTTTGGCACTCCTGTTGGATGCAAAGCTCTTTTTCTTTTTTCACCTTCAGATGTTTTCCGTGTGTTAGGTATAGTTGGCGATGCTGTTTAAGTCGCCGTGTCATTGGCTGGCTCATCACGATGGGCCACCACAGTTTTTATAAGATTTGGGGTTTCTAGCCTGGCCGAGTTGCAAGTCTTCAGCCCAGGACCACAAGAATACCACTTGTTAACCCTTAGACAGCAACTATGGAGAAATGGTCATACCCACCTTTGCATAAAAAATGCAAAAAAAAAAAAAAAAAAATCATTATAGACTTACAATATTAATTTGTATGCAAAATTTAAGAAAACGTGCAAAACTAAGTTAATATTTATCGTTTGACTGGGTGGTGGCGCTCAGTAAGTCTGCGTCTGGCACTTGTCAGGGGCCTGACGACTGAGTGGACAGCGCTCGGGATTCGTAGTCCTGAGGTTCCGGGTTCGATTCCCAGTGGAAACAAATGGGCAGTTTCTTTCACCCTGATGCACCTGTTCACTTAGCAGTAAATAGGTACCTTGGAGTTAGACAGCGGCTATAGGCTGCTTCCTGGGGGGTGTATAACAAAAAAGGAGGCCTGGTCGAGGACCGGGCCGCGGGGATGCTAAGCCCCGAAATCATCTCAAGATAACCTCAAGAAGATAACACCTTGGGCTCCACTTTGCTGATGCTTATTCTCTAATATTTCAGTGATTGTTTTATCACTTAGTTTTCTTTATGTACATCCGCAGAGAGCTTTGATATCCATATATGCATCACACATGTAAAACTCAAACAATATTTGCTAAACCATCATACAATGATGACTGCATTTCCCCTAGAAACATTCATGACGATGACTGCATTTGTACCATGAAATGGTAGCAGGATTTTTTAATGAGTCGAGGTAAACTCCATTGCATCCACATAGACCTATTATATCCATATTTGCATTATACATGTAAAACTTGGACAATAATATTTTAAATTTGCATACTGTATGATAACTGCATGACCCTGTGAATGAACAATTGACGATAACTGCCGTCTAAGGATTAAACTTCTGTAGGTATATGTGCTACCTTTTTATTTGGTGACTGCGTATCAGGTCAGTGGGTACCTGTGCTTGTCCCCCTAAATGCGAAGGCAAAATTTTTTGGCCAAGAAGGACGCATTTCTTTGGCTAGAACTGCTTGAGCAGATGCTGTCGGCTTCCCTTCTGTCTGTGGAGGGTGTGCTATGTCTTTCTTTCCAGTCATAAGCTGAGGATTTTTGGAAGACCTCAAAGGTTCCTTCACTGGCCCGAGCTGGTTTCATCAGTTGGCCCATCCTCTTCTCTGATTGGAGATCCTGTGTCTGTCAGAGGTAGGTATATTGCAGATACACTTTAGTACTTCGGGAGTTTTGATGTACTGTATAAGCATGAAGGTAATATTTCTTTGGCTTGGGAAAATTCTTTAGCCTTCTTTACTGTTCAGTTATGCTTTACTGTTCCATCCCCATATTTGATTTTTAGTCCCATAGATGGTACAGATGGCTTTTCTGTACAGAATGTGAATTTTTCTGTACCATGTGAAACATGGGTTTCACCTGTGTCGCAGACTCGGTGAAATTTGTAGCCGTTCTTGTTAGAAGATAAGAACCAAATCTTGGCGTTGGCTCAACTCTTCAGTTGTTTAGGTCTTAGCCCCTTCATGGTTGTATTACTGCATTTCACAATTCCTTTTGCCTGGCAGGTAATCTCTTGTTCTCTGTGGGAAGGTGGAGAGTGTTCTGCTTGACTGGAAAGAGCTTTCTCCACTCCTTGGTGTGGTTTGTGAGTGACACTTTCATCAACTGGTCTCGATACATTACGGCTTTACAGTGTGACATGGTTTCTTGGCACCTGCACATTCAGGCATTCCCCTTTATGCAGCATTGGATTGTGGATAATTATGAAGTTTGTTATTGTTTGGCAGATATTCTTAACTTATTCTGCCTCGAGCTCTTCCCTCAACTTTCTGAGCTCAGTTGACGTAAAGGATTAAATTCCTCCTTTGTTTTTTCATCAGCAATGTTTCCTGCTGTTACGCTGACTGAGTTGTTCCTTCTCATCCTTCACGGTGATGTGGCAGACTTTTTCAATGCCTAAAAGTGTAAGAAGCAGCCCCCCCCCCCCCAAAAAAAAAAAATCACTATCTTGAGATGGTTATTCTAAGGTGATTTTAGGGCTTGCGGCCCGGTTCTCGACCAGGCCTCCTTTTTGTTTCACACCCCAGGAAGTGGCCTGTAGCAGCTGTCTAACTCCCAGGTACCTATTTACTGGTGGGTAACAAAGGCATCAGGGTGAAAAACTCTGCCCATTTGTTTCCGCCTCCACCAGAGATCGAACCCGGAACCTCAGGACTACAAATCCAATGCTATGGGCACTCGGCCGTCAGGCCCTCTTACCCCCCTCCCCATACCTGTCACTACCCATAAGCAAATGTAAGAACATAGTAAAGAACCTATTCCACACTACTACACCCTACATGTCAACAACCCTAACCCTGGCCCATGTTGATCTACACCCTACATGTCTATATTAGAAAATACATGTCCAGAGGGGATAGTGGGTGGACATAAAAACTATTACTTATCTTCAGTGATCCTTATACTCTACACTATTAGCAAATGGTGGGCATCTTGCTCTCACTGTTTATGTAGATGGCATAAGGAATGCGGCAGCAAATACAACCAGCCAACATCACTTACTCTGAACATAAGACTACTAATGTTTTATTTTAGAATATTTGTAATTTTGACATGAAATAAGCTTGGCATAAAGATTGTCTGTGGTCTGTACTGTACATACAGTATATACTGAACCAGTTTCAAAACCGTTTGTAAGAAAACCCCCAAAAATATGTTTGTGTATTTTCAACCTTAAGAATAAGTAACATTAAACATTTGGAGAGTATAGTCTTAATTAGATGCCTGTAGACATTCCTTCAGTACTCTTAATGTTTAATCTCCTTCTGTCTACCACACCATCACTGCTCTCCAGTATTTAGATTATATTTTTGGGTTCAATTTTGTACAAAAATATTGTCGACATCATTATTGGATTCGACATCAAAATTCTTGCATTCTGATGTGGTACTGACTTAATCTCTCTCCTTTAGTTCCAGTTAGCAAGGACCAACATGCAGTTACCTCCCGAGGCAGAGCCTCCCAATCTGATGTTGCCATTAGTATACGACAGTGTGAGCAACAAGACCCAAATGGCTGAACGTCGCGACCACGGTAATATCCCTAGCGTCACCCTGCAGGTCATCAATGACATCATGAGTCGTGCTGTTGTGCAGCCCAATGAGATGTCACTCTATCCGTGCATTCGCGAGTTGTTGTGTAGCCTGAGTCTGGGTCCTGACGGCAATGCTGTGGCCACGCCACCAACATCAGTAGGCCAGAATACGCCCACTTCATCTGGGGGCACAGTGCCCCAGTCATTGGGGTCACCACATCTAACATCACCTCATATGGCCTCTCCGCACACCCCTGGTTCTTCTGGCGGAACGCCGGTATCCTCCATGGCATCGACCATGTCACAGAGCATGATTTCTTCTGCCACGGGCACTGGCACGTCCAGTGCAGTAACGCTCACCAACCCTAGCATGGGCTCGACCATGTCATCTGGATCGCACTTCAGTGGACCAAAGCCAGTGTCCGCTGTAGGACACATGCAGCCAACACTGGGTTCTATGGGCCCTATGGGACCACAAAGTATGCAGGGTATGCCAGGTGGTATGCAACAAAGTCACATGCAGCAAACCATGACCTCTATGGCTGGCGGGATGATGCAAGCTGGGCCGCGAGGTATGCAGGGCGGCCCAGCATCGGTGCAAAGTGGTCAGATGGGTGGTGGACCTGGTGGTATGCAAGGTATGCCTACTATGCAGGGAGGTGGAATGCAAGGTGGCATGCAAGGAGGAATGCAAGGTGGACCTGGAGGAATGCAGGGTGGACCAGGAATGCAAGGGGGTCCGGGTAGTATTCAGGTTGGGCCTGGGGGAATGCAATCTGGTCCAGGAGGAATGCAGGGAGGTATGCAATCTGGTCCAGGAGGAATGCAAGGCAGTATGCAAGCAGGGCCTGGTGGAATGCAAGGCGGTATGCAAGCAGGGCCAGGTGGAATGCAGGGCGGACCTGGAGGCAGGCAAGGTGGATTTAGTGGAACCATGATGGGTCAGTTCAACCGTTAAACCAAACCTATTATTCCTTTTTATATATAGTTTTAAAATTGTCGGGCACAGGAAGCCCGTTTAAGCTCAACGAGGTCCTAACCAATGACATCTTCCATAGAAAGCCACCTTAGTACCAACTATGAGGTGCCCACTTACCACATTGTGTCAGGGGGACAGGCAGCCAGCTTACATATACTGTATGCTAGGCTTATATCAAGGTTTCCTCCCCAGGATGGAACCCCACAACAAGCTGACTAACTCCTGGGTACCCATTTACTGCTAGGTGAATAGGGGCATGAGGTGATAAGAAATGTACCCAACTATTTCTGTCCTGCCCGGCTGTACTACCAAAACTGGTATTAAAAAAAAAAAAAAAGCGCCTCTTCCCCTCCTTTTTTTTTTTTTTTTTAACCCACAACCACTTGTTGGAGTTAGTGCTGCTAACTGCAATATGCAAGATGACATGTATAAGATGTATTAATGACTTAATACCACAGTATTTTATTATGATTTATTTTTCTTTACATTTAAAATAGAACTGTGAATGTTAAACATGGACTTCCAGAGAAAACTTTTGTTTATAAATTATATAAATTTAATGCATTTTTAATCAATCTTTTTCACAAGAGTTCGCAAGTGTAATAAACTTCTGAGAATGCCGTTCAATCCATGGCCAGGTGTGTAGTTTGTTGGGCTTCCTTCTTGGTGCACAAAACTGGACTAAATTATTATATTAAGATCACTAAAGCCCCCAGAGGAACATCATAGCCGGCATGTTACTGTCGTGATAGTGGACTGGGACAATGTATCCACCTCTCACCGTCGTGATCGTGGACTGGGACAATGTATCCACCTCTCACCGTCATGATCGTGGACTGGGACAACGTATCCGCCTCTTACCGTCATGATTGTGGACTGGGACAATGTATCCGCCTCTTACCTTCATGATTGTGGACTGGGACAACGTATCCGCCTCACCGTCATGATCGTGGACTGGGACAATGTATCCTCCTCACCGTCATGATCGTGGACTGGGACAATGTATCCTCTCACTGTCATGATAGTGGACTGGGACAATGTATCCTCTCACTGTCATGATCGTGGACTGGGACAATGTATCCTCTCACTGTCATGATCGTGGACTGGGACAATGTATCCGCCTCACCGTCATGATTGTGGACTGGGACAATGTATCCTCTCACGGACTGGGACAATGTATCCGCCTCACTGTCATGATAGTGGACTGGGACAATGTATCCTCCTCACAGTCATGATCGTGGACTGGGACAATGTATCCGCCTCACTGTCATGATAGAGGACTGGGACAATGTATCCGCCTCACAGTCATGATAGTGGACTGGGACAACGTATCCGCCTCACCGTCATGATAGTGGACTGGGACAATGTATCCTTCTCACAGTCATGATCGTGGACTGGGACAATGTATCCTCTCACTGTCATGATAGTGGACTGGGACAATGTATCCTCTCACCGTCATGATCGTGGACTGGGACAATGTATCCGCCTCACTGTCATGATAGTGGACTGGGACAATGTATCCTCACAGTCATGATCGTGGACTGGGACAATGTATCCTCCTCATAGTCATGATCGTGGACTGGGACAATGTATCCTCTCACTGTCATGATAGTGGACTGGGACAATGTATCCTCCTCATAGTCATGATCGTGGACTGGGACAATGTATCCTCTCACTGTCATGATAGTGGACTGGGACAATGTATCCTCACAGTCATGATCGTGGACTGGGACAATGTATCCTCCTCACAGTCATGATCGTGGACTGGGACAATGTATCCGCCTCACTGTCATGATAGTGGACTGGGACAATGTATCCTCAGTCATGATCGTGGACTGGGACAATGTATCCTTTTACAGTCATGATCGTGGACTGGGACAATGTATCCTCTCACTGTCATGATAGTGGACTGGGACAATGTATCCTCTCACTGTCATGATCGTGGACTGGGACAATGTATCCTCTCACTGTCATGATCGTGGACTGGGACAATGTATCCGCCTCACCGTCATGATTGTGGACTGGGACAATGTATCCTCTCACTGTCATGATCATGGACTGGGACAATGTATCCTCTCACTGTCATGATCGTGGACTGGGACAATGTATCCGCCTCACTGTCATGATAGTGGACTGGGACAATGTATCCTCCTCACAGTCATGATCGTGGACTGGGACAATGTATCCGCCTCACTGTCATGATAGTGGACTGGGACAATGTATCCGCCTCACAGTCATGATAGTGGACTGGGACAACGTATCCGCCTCACCGTCATGATTGTGGACTGGGACAATGTATCCGCCTCACTGTCATGATAGTGGACTGGGACAATGTATCCTCCTCACAGTCATGATCGTGGACTGGGACAATGTATCCTCTCACTGTCATGATAGTGGACTGGGACAATGTATCCTCTCACCGTCATGATCGTGGACTGGGACAATGTATCCGCCTCACTGTCATGATAGTGGACTGGGACAATGTATCCTCACAGTCATGATCGTGGACTGGGACAATGTATCCTCCTCACAGTCATGATCGTGGACTGGGACAATGTATCCTCCTCATAGTCATGATCGTGGACTGGGACAATGTATCCTCTCACTGTCATGATAGTGGACTGGGACAATGTATCCTCACAGTCATGATCGTGGACTGGGACAATGTATCCTCCTCACAGTCATGATCGTGGACTGGGACAATGTATCCGCCTCACTGTCATGATAGTGGACTGGGACAATGTGTCCTCACAGTCATGATCGTGGACTGGGACAATGTATCCTCCTCACAGTCATGATCGTGGACTGGGACAATGTATCCGCCTCACTGTCATGATAGTGGACTGGGACAATGTATCCTCACAGTCATGATCGTGGACTGGGACAATGTATCCTCCTCACCGTCATGATCGTGGACTGGGACAATGTATCCTCTCACCGTCATGATAGTGGACTGGGACAATGTATCCTCTCACTGTCATGATCGTGGACTGGGACAATGTATCCTCTCACCGTCGTGATAGTGGACTGGGACAATGTATCCTCTCACCGTCATGATCGTGGACTGGGACAATGTATCCTCCTCACCGTCATGATAGTGGACTGGGACAATGTATCCAATGTATCCCTCACTGTCATGATAGTGGACTGGGACAATGTATCCTCTCACCGTCATGATAGTGGACTGGGACAATGTATCCTCTCACCGTCATGATAGTGGACTGGGACAATGTATCCTCTCACCGTCATGATAGTGGACTGGGACAATGTATCCGCCTCACTGTCATGATCGTGGACTGGGACAATGTATCCTCTCACCGTCATGATCGTGGACTGGGACAATGTATCCTCTCACCGTCATGATCGTGGACTGGGACAATGTATCCTCTCACTGTCATGATCGTGGACTGGGACAATGTCCACATCATGATGGTGAGAGGTGGATACAAAGTGTCGTGCCATCCAAATATCCCCACTAATCCTATGTGGTCCACCTCCCAACTGCACCTTTGTAGTACAGGTGTAGTGGCATTAACTACACCCAGAACAAAATTTCCTTAAAAAAAAAAAAAAAAGCCTCATTCAATAATTATAAAACATGCCAATCAAACTTTATAAATTGGTTAAGTGATAAATAACCAGTTTTATAATGATGAAGACTAACAGCCTTACTCAGGGTAGGTAAGTGACATTAGTCAAGTGATTAACTATTGATGGCACGTTTTGGTCTGGCCGGGTAGGTACAGTACTGAGTTTTTATGAACCTTCGTGTACATTCATTTTATCACTATACAGTATTCACAACCATCTTTGGAAGTTTAATGAAAATTAACTATTTTAACTTATCAAGCACTGCTGCTAAGCTAAACATATGGCTAAATACTGTACAAAAATATAAATTTATTGTGTCACAGTCTATACAAAGATTTCAAATATATTAATACTTTATTAACAAAATAGAATATGAAAGGGGATCACTATAGAGGTGATAGAGGTAACAAAAGTGAATTTACTGAGAGCACATAACGTCCAGCAAACCCTCATACCTGGCTCCAAATACATTTCCAATATGTACGCTTGTACCAAAAGCAATTTAAGAATATCTGCCATCCCCTGCTCTTTTTCATCATGTACCAAACTATACCACCCCTTGCAAACTACTATACCATTATTCTATAACTTCACCAAACCACTGTGGCTAATCACAGCTTGAAGAGCAATGTTGCTATACTGTACTTGCAACTGACACACAATACCCTACCATGCACCTTGTTGGGCATTTGAGAAAAATCTTGCACACAGTGCAAGAGTTGAAAGACCAACACTGAAGATGATGTTGAAAATAAGTTGAAGATGTTCAACTTATCAACACTGAATAGTTATTGGAGAGATTTGACCTAAGCACGACGATTATGTTTATGCAGCCTGTATAAGCAAAATTATGCAGCTTGTATAATTTATGAAGATAAGAGCTTCATGTTAGCTGGGAAGCCGCCTTCAGTACTGCCAGACTATTCTGATACTGGCTCAAAAACACTTCCAAAATATGTGCTACTAATATGAGGATTTACTGCACCAGATATGTGCCAACTTATTTACAGACTATAAATAATATTTTCCTATTTGCATTTCTAAAGTAAATTATGCTTGCAGTAACATCAAATCATTGTAAGGAAAAAAATGTTCCAAGTACTGTATAAATACACAGAATTTCAGTGCAATAGCATATACATATTAATTTGAAATCACTTCAATGAAAAGTCTTAGCACTTGCTCATCTTCTGAAAGGAGCCACCCTAACAAATGTTCCTCCCGGGACCTTGGGAGGCGGGCCAACTACCGGTCTGTTCATCGGTCTGACAGTTGGGTCCATGCCCAAAGTCTGTTGTGAACTAATGTCCATCACAGGCCGGCCTCCGATCACCCGAGGTCCCATGTGTGAAGTGTTGGATGGCAGCACGACGGGTGGCTGTGTAGAGGTGGGGGTCGTCATAGAGAGCAGCGGCACGGGCTCCGTAGGCGGTAACAAGACGGATGGCGATGCAGCACCAGGAGAGAGCAGCGGCACTGACTCTGAGGAATGATTGGGGGCCTGCACAACATTACTGGCACAGGAGGCACGAGGGTTGGAGGGGCTGTGCGAAGCAGACCCTCGTCCAGGGTCACCATCAGGCACAGTTTGTCCCGCCGATGGAGACTGCTTGCTGTTGATTTCTACGTCACTTAGAATCCCTTGAGGTTCATACAGCTCCTTCAAGATGAGAAGCATGGTGTCTTCAGACTCCCTGTAACAACCAAATCACACCAATTAAAACAAAAGCAAAAAAAAAAAAAAAAATGTTTCATGCACAAGCCCATCAGGTGAAAGAATATTAGTTTGTTTACAAGTTTGTACTTGTAGATATTGGGCACCTTGTGATGCAAGTGCTGCCTCAATCACTGCCTGAATGGTAGAGCAACAATTCTGCTTCTTGCAGCCTGGCATTCAATCCCTGATTGCCCAAGTGGTTGGGCATCATTCCTTTCCTCCGTTCTATCCTAAATACTTATCTTCATATCCCTTTCAAGTGCTGTATAGTTGTAATGGCTTGGTGCTTTCTCCTGATAATTACCTTACCTTGCACCATGAGGCCTCTTAACCATACAGTAACAATTTGTATATTCATTACATCGCGATATAGAAAAGTACTGTATATTTCGGAGGAATAAGGAGACCTACAGATAAAATGACTGCCAAATTTCAGTCCGAGTTTCATGGTTTTAGCTCATATCCGTGGCATACGACGAGCCGAAAACAGCACAACAATCTGTAGCGAAGTGTGTTCAAATGCCATGCCATTACCCCCCCCCCATTTGATTTGTTAACTACAATAAAAATCATGCACCTCAATGTAATTTTTTAAATAGCTGGATATAATTTAGGGGTCAAGATGGTGAAATTGTTGACCGAAGAAAACAGAGAACATTACTAACTCTATTCAATAAAACACCTAAATTGTCTTCCCTGGAACCCACAAGAAAGGTGTGTGTTCCTCCCCATCTCTAGACAATATTTCAGAGAATGCTTACAATTCTATAACTTCACTGAAATACACGAGAAATTATCAAGACATCTAATTGTGCTAAATAATCAGCTCCATTAATACCTAAACAGAATATCTGATCAACCAGGACGTGGTGCTCACGACAGACTGAGATGCAAGCACCAACAATTTGTTTGATCACTGTCATTTAGTAAGTCTGGAGCCAGATTCACGAAGCAGTTACGCAAGCACTTATGAACCTGTACATCTTTTCTCAATTTTGGCAGCTTTCTTTACAATTATTAAACAGTTAATAAGCACTGAAGCATCAGGAGAATGTTTATAATAACAACAACAATTAATTGGGAAGTTTTCATGCTTGTAAACTGTTTAATAAATGTAACCAAAGCCGTCAAAGATTGAGGAAAGATGTACACGTTCGTAAGTACAGTGGGGGCCTCGATTTATGTATCCGTTCCCAGAGATGTATCGTAAGTCGAAGCGATTTTTCCCATAAGAAATAAAGAGAATTGGATTAATCTGTTCCACATCCCTAAAAATATTAACTTAAAAATACATTTTATACTGAATTCAAATTTTTTCTCTAACTACAATACAGTACATGTTTATCTTACCTGTATGGAGGACTCTTGATGTATATGGAAGATGGTGAGGATAGGGGAGGAGGAGAGGTGTTACTGTTTGGAAGGGGAGTCCCCTTCCATTATAACATCAGGCAGTGAGAACTTCTCTGGGGTTCTCTCTCTCTCCTACATTTTGCCTGCATACCACTAGGACCTGGTTGTGATTCACTGCGTGTTTGTCTTACTAAAAACCTTTCCATAGATTTTTGTTTTTCCATGCGTTTTAATTTTTGTAGTGAGGCATCACAGTGTCATTAATTAATTAATTAAAAAGATTAAAGCAACAGCCTACTGCACCATGATTTGGGCGAGTCGTTTCAGCAAAAGTTTGCAATTCTTCCCATGCTGCACACATTTTCTTAATTAATGAGGAAGGGACATTCTGTACTGTCTCCTCCCCTGAAGAAATTTCCTTAGCTGTCTCTTATTGCTGCTCCTTGTGAAGTTCTTCGGTGGTCAGTTCTTCACTGTGTTCCTCCACCAGCTCACAACACACAACACTATGAATGCCACTTTTTCTAAATTTCGCAAACCATCCCCTGCTCGTCCTAAATTCTTTCACATTTGCATCACTCGTTCCAGGGGTTTTCTTTAAAAGGTCTTCATGCATTTTCCTTGCTTTTTCACAAATGATGGCCTCTGAAACTCTATCACCTGGTTGATACCTGCTTGATGGGGTTCTGGGAGTTCTTCTACTCCCCAAGCCCGGCCCGAGGCCAGGCTTGACTTGTGAGAGTTTGGTCCACTAGGCTGTTGCTTGCAGCGGCCTGCAGGCCCACATACCCACCACAGCCCGGTTGGTTCGGCACTCCTTGGAGGAAACTATCTAGTTTCCTCTTGAAGATGTCCACGGTTGTTCCGGCAATATTTCTTATGCTCGCTGGGAGTATGTTGAACAACCGTGGACCTCCGATGTTTATACAGATCCCTCTAATTGTGCCTATGGCACCCCTGCTCTTCACTGGTTCTATTCTGCATTTTCTTCCATACCGTTCACTCCAGTATGTTGTTATTTTACTATGCAGATTTGGGACTTGTCCCTCCAGTATTTTCCATATGTATATTATTTGATATCTCTCCCGTCTTTCTTGCGAGTACATTCGGAGAGCTTTGAGACGATCCCAATAATTTAGATGCTTTATCTCGTTTATGTATCCCATATATGTTCTCTTTACTCCCTCTATTTCAGCAATCTCTCTTACTTTGAATGGGGAAGCGAGTACTGAGCAGTACTCAAGACGGGACAGCACAAGTGATTTGAAGAGTGCAACCATTGTGATGGGATCCCTGGATTTGAAAGTTCTCGTAATCCACCCTATCATTTTCCTGCCTGCCACAATATTTGCTTGGTTATGCTCCCTAAATTTAGTATCCGGGTACCTGGAATTTATCACTGTTAAACATCATGTTATTTTTCTGCTGCCCAGTCGAAAACTTTATTAATTTGTAGCTTGTAGTTTTTCAATATCTTCAGCAGAGATAATTTTCATGCTGATTTTTGTGTCATCTGCAAAGGATGATACGAAGCTGTGCCTTGTATTTCAGTCTATATCTGATATGAGAATAAGGAAAAGCAGTGGTGCAAGGAGTACCTCAGTACCTTGAGGTACTGAGCTTTTAACTGCGCTTGGACAGAGTAACAGTCAACTATGGTTGACTGTTACTCTGTGTTCTGTTCGACAGAAAATTGAGTATGCAACCTCCTACTTTACCAGTTATTCTCATTGACCTCATTTTGTGTGCTATCACTCCATGGTCACATTTATCGAATGCCTTTGCGAAATCCGTGTATACCACATCTGCATTCTGTTTTTCTTCTAATACCTCAGTGATTTTGTCGTAATGGTCAAGTATCACTCGCTAACTCCTTGCTGTGTATCCAAATTAATAATAACTGTTCAACATCCTCAAGTGTTTGTGTTCTATGTTTCGTGATTATTGATACGCCTTTTGCCACTTTAGCACTCATAATGTCCTTTTTCTCAGTAAGTATGGTGGGTATCATTGACTGAGATTTGTTGTACTGCCTAGCTAGTTCAGCAACCCGCACACCATCTTCATATTTACGAATGATCTCTTGTTTTTGCTCTACGGTCATCCTCATGTGTTTTCAAATGTTGAACCTTACCACTGACTTTCTTGGGACCCATGCATGATATATAATAATTACTTTTATGTTCATAAAGCAAAAAAATCACCAAAAAATATTGTTTCTTATAAGTGTGATCGTCACTAAGCGGGCAGCTCTAGTACACTGTGGCAGGTCGGCCCACACAACCGGGAGCCATGCGCTCGGTCCACTCGAACGTGTACCAACAAATATCATTAGTCGACGACACTATTGTAAGTCGAGTCGCATTTTCCGATCAAATTTATATCATACTCGGAATTATCGTAAGTCGAGGTGCCACTGTACTTGTGTAACTGCTTTGTGAATATGGCCCCAGGTCAGATTAGGCTGCAGGGGCTAGCAAACTCTGGAAACCTTCCAAAGGTACTCATAGGGAAGGTACCTGTACGTTTTGTTTAATACGTCGAGAAGCTTCGTGTCTATACCAAATTAAATGTATTACAGATAAACACACACACTTTCAATTCACAATAATAGTGGATTAGTGCGAATTGAAAGATTAAAAGTATGAATTACAAATATTTTTATTCAACTATGAACACAAAACTCGAGTGAATGAGAACCAGCAACATGCCCTCACTCTGTGTAGCTTAATCGTATTTGCAAGCAAATAGGATGCATGTTTTTGGTCTATCATAAACTGAATACATTGTATTTACATATACAGAATCAAATGTTTTCCCCTACAGAGCCATTTGAAAAATTATTTTAAGTAAATGTATGACAAAGCACAAATTTTGTTTCACAAGATATCCTTGTAAATTAGGTACCGTATGGAAGAAAAAAAAAAAAAAAAATGCGGCAATTTAATGCGGCACAAAATTTTAACCAGAACAGATCCTTTACACTGTGCAAAAAAGATTTCTGTAGAGGAGACATGAAATGGAATACAATATGCCACCAAAAACAAATTCCACCAAGCATTAAAAATGATTATAAACATTAGTATTCTCACCAGTATGTAACGTGGGCTTGAAGAGCAAAAATGTACTCGTTGAAGCTCTCGTACGGCTTCTCTTGTAACACGTAATCGATCCTTTTACCCCCATTGAGATGGCCCACAGAGATCTTTAGCTCCCCACCACCACTGCTGCCTGCAGGCCCGTCCTCCTCCTCTAGATAGAGTCGATCTGCCAGTGCCTGTAGGAGAGAAATGAGATGTAGAAGTACTTGTGAGAGGTAAACATGATGTATGGGTGCTTGTGGCAGATGAACATGATCTATGGGTGCTTGTGGCAGATGAACATGAAGCTTCACTCCACTTTACCTTACAAATCACTTATGTCATGCCAACAAATTTAAGAACAACAACATACAGTAATGGGAAGAGGACCGTACTTTATGTTTTGGACTTTGGCTTTCTCCCACAACAACTGAACCTTCACAAGATATACATCAATGGGTGGAGAGTAGGGACGGAAGTGATAAGGAGAACGTTGCATCACCATCCCCGGCGGAGGCGGAAACAAATGGGCAGAGTTCCTTTCACCCTAATGCCTCTGTTCACCTAGCAGTAAATAGTTACCTGGGAGTTAGACAGCTGCTACGGGCTACTTCCTGGGGTTGTGTAACAAAAAGGAGGCCTGGTCGAGGATCGGGCCGCGGGGACGCTAAGCCCCAAAATCATCACCCATCATTCCTAATGTACACTGTGGCTGGCTTGTGCCACACACACAACTCTTAACTAATCCTTCCTCCACTTCTCTACTCCACATATACATCACTGACCAGCCTTGGAGGTAAACTTCAATTCTAGGTGTCGCAATCCTATTACACCTCAAGTCGAGTGTAATTTTACCGTTTTAAGCAGGAGCAAGGCCATGGCCAGGCCACATGTTACAGGAACCGTCAGTAAAGTCAAGTAAGGCCCTCCTGTACTTGCCTACTGTAACCTGTAGCTTACCTATTGACCATGTGGTGGTACAGATGACTACAATGTGTCTGGGAACATCTAGCACACAGGTTCCAACCCTCATCAAGGCCCTTGTGGATTTGTTCATACAAATAGTTTCTTAACAAAAAGTAGATGCCTTTATATTTTCTACAAAAATAATAGTATGAATAAATATTCAGAGTTTTCAAAGAGGGTAAACAGCTGATATTCTGGGCCAGGCATCAGCATCTGATCAGAGTAAACTCGTCTAAAATGTAACTTGGGAGGACACATGTTGGCAAGCACTTGGAGTTTAAGGCAATGTACTACACCTAGTGTTTACATTTTATTTATGATGATGTAGAGTAATTAAATTCATAGATTCGTGTTTACCATCCATCCATCTATCCATACACATATATATATATATATACACACACACACACTTTAAATCATAGATTTAAACTAACTAAACACAGATGCCGAAGAAATATAAGAAAATTCACTTTCGCAAACAGAGTGGTAGACAGTTGGAACAAGTTAGGTGAGAAGGTGGTGGAGGCCAAAACCGTCAGTAGTTTCAAAGCGTTATATGACAAAGAGTGCTGGGAAGACGGGACACCACGAGCGTAGCTCTCATCCTGTAACTACACTTAGGTAAATACACGCACACACACCACACAGTTCAATTTTTGTAGTACCTATCAGGGTGTAAAACATAATAATAATAATAATAATAATAATAATAATAATTAATAATAATAATATTATTATTATTATTTCAGAGTAGAATATGTTACCTAATTTGATCTATGATTATATACTGTACCTGTATTTAATATGAAGTGGAATAATGCTATGATTTAAGTCAAAATTACAATTACTTTAGCTGTCTTGCATTTTATGCAAGACAAAAATGTGTGGGGAAGGCCACTTATACAAGTAACATATATAAGCTATATTTTCTTGTGTGTGTGTAAAAATATTTTTATATATACAGTATACTCAATCTAGGTGTTTCTATACTCCTTGCACATTTCTCCCCCTAGACCAGCGGTCACCAATCTTTCGGAGCTCACTATTCACTAAATTCATCACTATTCACAAAAAATTTAAATCCCACGGACCACTAACATGAGTCTCGCGGTCCACCAGACAAGAAATGATACATTATTAACACTATCGGTAACTTTGGACTGGTGGGAAAAACCTGCTGGGATTGATATAAGAGGAGACTACTAGAGACTTGGACTGAACTAAATTAAAAAATTACTGTCTGCAAATTAATTCCTTAAATCTCTAGCTAGGGTCGTAAATCCTAGCTCCTCTTTTCCTAATGACAGATTGTGGGCTGTAAGGGACAGGTGGAGTGAATGAATTAGTTGACAGAAGTTCCAGTCCACCTGTAGACAGGTATTCTCACATCAGCTTGTATATTATACAAGGATAAGATTTGATAAATTCAGTTATATGACTGAACACTGGCTCTGTTTAAATCAGGGATTTAAACATACATAGTCTAACCTAGCACCATAACTATTAACAGCCAATAAGTTCTTATACTATAAACAACAAATTAAATTGTAAAAGTATAATAAATGACTTTAAATGTAGTCTAAGTACTTAACTAAGTACTAGAAATTATATTCAATTAAATGAACTTGTATGATAACTTATAAATTAACTAAGCAAGCAATTGTTAACTTAATTTATATATTCAAATATATATGCAGACATATTTATATTCAATTTATTTGATTAGGGTACAGTCAGCTTGACTGAATCCTTTTCCACACAATGGACACTCATGAGACTTTATTTACGCATTGCGACTGAATCTCTTCTGACACAACTGGACACTCATGAGGTCAAGTGCTTGGATAAGGACCTGCTGCTCTTCTACAATATTAATAAACTTACTGAAATGTGAGGCTTTGCCTCGCTTTTTAACCGACAGACAGATTTATAGGATATTAAAGTCACACAAGCATACAATTGGCCAATCATATACCAAAATAACCTTCAATATACATCTCTGCCAGTCGGAGTGCCTTGTCTGACAAGATGCCAGACTGATTAACACTTTCCTGGATTTTCTACTTGGAATTACGGGCGTTTTGCTTAACCCTTAAACTGCGCATGGCGTATATATACGCCCTGAGTAACATGTCCCACGGTGCGCATGGCGTATATATACGCCATAGGGTGCCAGGCCTGATTCAAATGGCCCGCGGCTATACGGGGTTCACAGTAGCTTCCTCAGGGCTCTTGTAAACAGATGCCATTTTAAAAAAAAATCGTGGGCAATATTCTCAGGTGTGAGAGGCACAGTACTGTTGGAGCAACCAAGGCCGGCGCACACAGCATGAGCGAACAGCATTGATGTTCAGCTTGTGACCACAGCATCGCCGAAAAATGTCAAAATAAATATATAATTGTTATTATTTAGCGATGACAATATTACAGATGACCAATGACTGTGATATAAATAACCAGGGTTGTGATAATAGCAGGATTGTTGTAATAATTAGCGCTGTGTGAGGAGTGATGCTGAGAGACGGAGGGAGACAGCATCGTTTACTGACTGTGTGGCCACCTGTTATTGTTTGCGTTCACCATACCAGGTCAGTGGTTCTCTATGGTGAACACAAATGTAGATACTTATATATAATGTGTGTATTAGTGTAATAACAGCAAAAGGATTATGCTGGGAGGAGCCATATGGGTGAGGGAGGTGACGTCGTCTGCACGATTTCTCTAGCTGTTTAGAGGGTGGCCACTATGCTCTTTGGGCGCTCTACAAGCTTAGGTGTACAGTTACAGTGAATAAAACATGTAGATATTTATATATAATATGTGTATATAGGGTAATAACACTGCAAAAGGTATTGTTGGGGGAGAAAGTTTAGTGCGTGTGAACTTGAAAGAGTGAGGGAGCCGCCAGCCGCCATCTGTGTGTAGCGACGACTCTTAGTGCCTGAACTAACTATATCAGCTTAGCTGTACAGTTGTGGTGAACAAAATATATACATACTTATATATAACATCTGTATATAGTGTAATAACACCACAACTGGTATTGTTGGGGGAGAAAGTTTAGTGCGTGTGTTGAGGGAGTGGCAGCGAGTGGCTGGCTGGTGTGTGGCGGTAACTCCTCCTTGCTTTTCGACTCTCAATACCAACTTAGTGGTTCGGTATGGTGACCAAAACATGCCAATACTTATATATAACCTGTGTATAGTGTGTAATAGCAGCAAAACTATTTGTTTATTGTTTTATAAACATAATAATTGAATCACTAATATGCACATCATACTTTTGAGTATAGCGATTATTAACCACTTTTATTATATAAATATATTACAATATACACTATTGAATAATATTACTGCAAAAAAACTAAGAAAAAATCAATCGGAGACATTGAAACAATTAGGTAATAATATCTTTGTGGCAACTCCCATCTGTCAACGCGGGTGACGCTGACCGGGTCTGCCGACCGCTCTGTCAACGCCCACTTTTTGCCAGACTTCCTCGGTCAATTGCGCCCAAAATATGTCACCTACGATTTTTTTTATATTTTTTTCCGTGCTCAGGGGACACAAATTAACATGTTTAGAAGACGAACAAAATTTTTTGAATTTTTTTTTTTCTTGCGCACAGGGGTGTAAATGTCCATATGACCCCTGAGCAGTGTAAGGGTTAAACGCTTGTCGGATCACGACGTAAATTTGCGGACCGTGTTTTATATTGGGTATTTACTACTCGATCGACTTGGGGTTTGTATGAATGTTTGCCAATAAATTTTTGTTTTCTCTAATAGGCACAGTGCCTATTTGAGAAAACGGCAATGTATTGTAACTTAGAGGAGAGACTATTGAGTTGGTGACACAACGAGGGTAATCGCCCACTTCACACACTCTTGTGTTGGCCGCGATCATGATTCTACATTTATATGCATATGTCTGTGTAGAGAATTTTATTCCGAACACTATACAAACAAAAAAAATGATGTGAATCAAGTATAAACTTGAAAAAACATGAGCAAAGTAAAAACTTTTTACGCTCACGGGTACAAACACGCGTAAGATTTTATTCGCCGCAAATTTGACGCTCTGTTGGCCAATTCTACCCATGTTCTTATAGAACTTTCTATTGCGAACACATTGCTATAAAAATGAAATACGTAGCTCAAGGAATATTGTCAGGACAGTGAAATAAGTATAAACTTTCAAAGCGCTGCATCACAACAGTGTCGTCGCTGCTG